GCCTTCAGATTGTCAGAATTTAAAAATCAGGAATAAGTATTGTAATAAATATTGTGTTACACAATATTCTGTAAAACCTGAACTATACGTGTGCATTGTTAACTATTTACGTTGGTAAACTTCTATGTAAAACACATTATTTATTTGAATTTCACTTTAAATGAATACGTAGAATGATTAGCTTAATCATGTGATATATATAATTGCGCCTATTTCAACTGTAGTTTAAATACGTAACATGATTGTCTTGATCGTGTGATAAACCTCAAATACATTAACTTATATAGAGACTCTCATTTGATTACTGCCGAACATAAATGTAGCAGACCTTAGAATATTTCAAACTGTGAATTCTATTACATAAAATAATTTAAATTTTAAATATCATAGGTAACTATCAGGCCTGATGCAAAGATATATAGATTAGAAAATTTGAGTTTATGACAAAGATTCAATTCCTTTATGTCGAAGCATAGGCGCCGTAGGCAGTCGGAGCTTTGATTTATGTTCGACATAGACAAAAATGTTTGTTGGGTATGTATAGTATCCTTAACATTTTCATAATATTTATTTTTCTTTTAATAATTAAATTTCTTGCTGGAAAAACCAAAATTTTGTAGATTTTGTTTGATCCCAACAAATATTTTTGCCTATGTCGAACATAAATCGAAGCTCCGACTGACTTCTACACTTATGCTTCGACATAAACATTTGGAGCTCCGACAAATTTTTCCCACTGAGAAGTTTTCGGCTAGATAATTCTGGACTTCATGAAGCTTGTCGGAGACCTACGACGCAGTTTGATAGCCGAGATTAAAAAACCTATATCGCAGTCTGACAGCGAAGCTTGGGAACAATACTAAATTTAAGAAATTTGCCAAAAATGGTTGACATCGAAGCTTTTTCGAAGTTCGACGTCAGATCTATAAAGCAAGGAAATGACATCACATTCAATTCCATGCTTTCACAGTATACACAAATTCAGGGGTAACCTATAATCTCGCATTTTATATGTGTAAGTAACAGAATAGATGTATTTAAAACTATCCCAAATCCACTGCCTTGATTTTTGGAATCCTATACTTCTTACAGAATAAACTTAACATTTTTTGTTCAACGTTTTTACCAACCCAAAACATATACGTATGTATGTAAAACATGATAAATGATATTCATAGAAATGTTATTTACTCAAAACATTAAATGAATATAAAATAGAAATATTTATATTTTTACTATTTCTTTTTATATTGCAAAGTTATAACCCTACTAACCCGAAAACCTAAAAATACCAGAGTCTCTATATAGGTCTACGTATTAATAGGTATTTTTACGTATAAATACGTATGCTCAACGAGGGAGTGAGTCCAGAGTTCCTCAAATAGTAATCACCGCCACCCAAATATGTTTTGCGGCAAGCGCGCTCCTCAATTGGTAATCTCCACCACCTCAAATAATAATCAGCCCAAAAAAGCATAAAATTAAATCGTTTATTTCTTAGAAATAAGACCATATTGACCTCTTTTAATGGCCCTATGGTGTACAATATTGTTAAAGCTTTCTTTATTGCTCCTTAGTTTTGAAAATAAATCTAAAAATATGCCAAACTAAGTGCTAGAAATATATTACGTTTTTTAGTTTCAAGTTTCGCTTTAAGAATGTTTGCGCCATTTTCCTCTGAATGATGATTTAAACTCCTTATATAGAGAGGAAACTTTAACCCATTATTAGTGGACTAAATACTTCATTTTCAGTAGGGGGTGGGATGAGACTAATTTTTCAAAATCTTATGCTCTTTTTATGCATATAATTAGTTTTGTTGTAGATGTTGAACTCCAGTAGGCGAATACAAAAATCTAAACACTGTAAAGGTTTTTTGAAAATATCTTTTAAATGGAGATGGATATTACTTTGCGTGGGATGAGATAATTTTTAGTAAACAGGCAGCCCGACCTTTTAGTATCTTGACGCCAATCATGAAATGCAGTCATTAAAGTGGCGAATTGGATCTAAGATTCGGTTAAAATGAACTGTGCCTTGATTCTCAGTTTTTGTTGACCAAACAAATCTGAAAATAATTTGAAAATTTAGTTTAAGTCAATACAGATGCCATAAAACCCCGAAAGATGTCGAAAATTGTGTTAAAAGTGCATTAAATTCAAATCACAGAAAACAAAATTTTACTGTGATTACTAATTGAGGTGGTGGAGATTACCAATTGAGGAGCGCGCTTGCCGCAAAACAGATTTGGGTGGCGGTGATTACTATTTGAGGAACTCTGGACTCCCTCCCTCGCTCAACTTTTGGTTAAGGTAAACAACTTACGCATATTTACGTATTTTTACGTATTAATCATACCAAGCAATTTTTTTTATGCTTTGGTTTTCCAGAAACGTATTTATACGATGCAAACCTTAAAATACGTATATTTTCGGAAATTTAGTTTTTAGGTTTTTAATATACGTATTATTACGTATTTTTCTTTGCTTGATTTTTTTAGAGTTATAAAGTTTGAGGCAAACTTAAAAATTTCGTAAATTTCATACCAAGTCATTTTTTAAAGTGTCAATATATTCACGAAACCTAAACTGCACAAAAATGCATTTTTGAGTAAATTGATGTTTTCATTAGAATCAATGTCAGTAAATTCTCGATTTTTTTTTTATAAATGAAGGAGGGGAGTGAAAAAATGTTATTCTTCTGGTTTAATCCTAGAATTCCTAGAGTCGTCTTCTAATTGTTTTGCTTTTTGGGACAGCCAGTATAATGTGTTCTGCACCCTTGTTACTTTTTGGGACAGCCAGTATAATGTGTTCTGCACCCTTGTTACTTTTTGGGACAGCCAGTATAATGTGTTCTGCATTGATTTACGAAAATCATCCAAATTTTGAGAAAAATATTTATTGTAAAAATTGAAACACTTAAATTACTAATTGTTTGTTTTTGTTTTACTATGACATACAAATAGAAAATGTTCACAATTAAAATAGAAGATGGGCGCTTAAAAATCAATTTAAAACAAGATATTAATTGCAGTATACGAATATATATATATACAAACGACGATTTTTACATTTTGATGTTTTGTAAAAAAAATGATTTTAATTCACCTATAGCAAATACACACGTTTAAAGTTATTTAACAACTTTATGAAACAAAGAAATTGGAATGGATATGTCCAGGGATCATACTGCATTAGTGTGATGTACTGCAAATAATTTGTGAGCATTTACATGAATTGTACACTTTGAAATCTCTTTCAGGCTGAAAGGGATTCACAAAATTCATATCGAGGGATTGTTTCAATTCCACTCTAATATATTCTATTCTCTTTGGTTACAGCACTGTGATGGGGGAGGGGGCTCTCTTCAAACCACGAATTCAGAAAAGAAAACTCATTTTTTGTCCTTCACTCTGCGGTGTAAGATTTAAAAAGTGTGATATCTCTGAGTTCTAGGAAGTGGGAAATTATGAATAATTTGTTTGGAAAGTTAACAATGTAGTATATAGGGTTGTTCATCGTTTTTGAAAACGATCGTTAAAAGATCGTTTTTTGCTTCGTTTTAAAATCGTTTTCAAAAACGATCGTTTTAAAAAACGACCTACTCGTTTTAAACTTTAGAAAACGAATAACAATCGTTTTTAAAAACGATCGTTTTAATGAAAACGATCGTTTTAATGAAAACGATTTGTGTTTTTTATACGATTGTATTTTTTAAAACGATCATTTTTTGAAAAAAAATTTGATTTCAAAAACGATCGTTTTAAAAAACGACCAACTCTTTTAAGCTACAATTTTCTGGGAATTGCTTGCTTAAACATTTCAATGATTTTTTCAGTAGAGAGTTCAGACAGCCTTATAGGGTGTAAAGCTATAAGTGCAAGATCGTTAAGTCTGCTCTCCGTCATAGTACATTTTGTGTAATGAAGTATTCTCTTTAGAAGGCTAAAACTTTTCTCTCCTTAACATAACAATAAATTTAGACAAATCCTTAGTCTTTGTCATTGTCAGGTGATACTTTTTAAACGTAGATTCCTTTTAATTTTGTAATTTACAGGGGGGGGGGCAAGAGGACTACTGCCCCCCTTATTGCGCCACTGTGCCTGGCCTGAGGAAGGGAAATGCAAGCAGATGTAATATTAAAAGAGCCTCCCCCATGGGTGCCCCCCCTCAGCCTCTCAGAGGGGGGCACGAGGTGGGGGGTGCCCCCCTCCTCGTACGCCATTGTGAAAATATTGATACATAAAAAGCTAAATGTGGTTTTTAACTATTCTGGTATAGAACTTTCTCAAGACATGATGATGGTCTAGAATTCTGTAGAGAAGCTCTTGAAAACAGAACTGATAAATCTATACCTACGTCATTTTTGATTGAGCTGCTAAACATTTGTTTGAAAAATAACATATTTGAATTTGGTGGTAAACTGTACAAACAATTGATAGGAACAGCAATGGGAATACATCCAGCCCCTTCCTATGCAAACATTTTTATGGCTAAGCTTGATGATCAAATTGTGAAACTTGCAAATACATACAAAATAACTGATGAGTGCCCCCTGAAGACCTGGAAAAGATTTCTGGATGATTGTTTTGGAATCTGGACAGATNACAGCCCAAATTTTTATTTTGAATAATCTTTTTGTTTGTTTATATTCTTGTGATTTTTACATTTTTTTATTTTTTTTTTATCGATTTTGATGGTTATTATATCGTTAGAACTGACGAGGGTCAACCCAGACCGAAATATATTTTCAATAAATGTGGAACTAACATCTACTTTTTTACTCTACAGAGGTTTGGTCCATCACCATCACTGAATTTTAAACATAATTCATACTTGATCTGACAAAGCTGTTAAGGGTACAATTGTAAACCAGGCATTGCTATCTATTGCCCAGAGGGTCACATGCTATTACGCTTACAGTCCCCTTAAGTTATTATTAAGAAATTGTAATATTAAAATTAATAAATTTTATCCTGAGGTTTCTAATTTCAAGATTATAGTTTCAGTTCGTGCATTGAACCAGATATAGCTTCTTTCATTGGAGTGAATATATTTAAAATGTAAGTAAAATATATCACTGACGAGAGGGGGGGAAGACTGGCGGCCATGAGCCACCTCCGTTATGTCTTCCATGCCACAACCTGTTCAGCTTCCGGCAATTATTACATTTACATACTTTAAATTTTGTGAAATGAAATTGCGATTTTCAAAAATCCAGATGCATTACTCTTGCATGTTGCATGGAAGACCAAACGGTTGTGGCTCATGTCCGCCTGCCTTTCCTTGCTTCACCGACCAGTCCATTGCTGGCCAAAGGAAAGGTCAAACTGGATATTTTGTTGGAAAGGGGTAGGGGAGGGATACTGTCATTTTGCGCCAATTTTTATTGGAAAAGAAATTGAGATTTTGGCACAAGCTCAAACATTTGTAATCTCTTTATTTTCGCAACCTGATGGTGTAAGCTTTTGATATTTCAAACTATGACTTATCTATCAAAATATCAAAGGTCTATGAGTACCACATCCGATTGCAAAGCTATGGGGGACTAAAGCTCTGAGTTTAATTAGTTCAATTAAAATGTCTGCTATGTCCCAACAAGAGCGGAAAATGACGGTTGTCTTAAGAATTCACAAGTTTTCTTTTTTGCAATTTTTTCACCCATTTATTTTAATGATTAGGCTAAAGCATCGTGGTGCTTGTCTGCATCTTGTTCAGATCATCTTGATAAATTTAATAGATGTAGATCCTGCTCACACTGTCATTAGGTTAGTTGGTAATTTCATAGAGAAGAATATTTTCAACCTGATTTTCACATTGCATCTCAAGAAAAATAGTTTGTTTCAAATTAAAAATTCAATATTTTTGTTAAAGTTATTGAACTAATTGATCCTAGCTTATTAAATGTATTTCAATTTATTTTATTAAGTCTATGGTATTTTGATGGATCCTATTATTATCCTCTGGAGAATTCAAGGTATAAAATACAGTTTCCATCGAAAGAAAACTTTCTTGAAAACAAGCGAAATTTTTTTTCTCGAATTTTTCAAATTTTTGTGCGAAATTTTTGCGTTTTTCGTGAAAATGATTTTTGCGAAAATTAGCGAAAACGATGCGGGATTTCGCGAAAAAAAACGGAGTTTTTATCAATAAAATGAAGAAAACTGCTTCCTCATGCATTAATATGTGTGGGTCTCCAATGCAAATTTAAGGGTCTCCAATGCAAATGCAAGGGTCTCCAATGCAAATGTTATGGTCTCCAATGCAAATGTAAGGGTCTCTAATGCAAATGTAAGGGTCTTTAATGCAAATGTAAGGGTCTGCAATGCAAATGTAAGGGTCTCTAATGCAAATGAAAGGGTCTCCAATGAAAATGTAAGGGTCTCCAATGCAAATGCAAGGGTCTCCAATGAAAATGTAAGGGTCTCCAATGCAAATGTAAGGGTCTTCAATGCAAATGTAAGGGTCTCCAATGCAAATGTAAGGGTCTCTAATGAAAATATAAGGGTCTCCAATGCAAATCTAAGGGTCTCCAATGCAATTGTAAGGGTCTCCAATACAAATGTAAGGGTATCCAATGCAAATGTAAGGGTATCCAATGCAAATGTAAGGGTCTCCAATGCAAATGTAAGGGTAACCAATGCAAATGTTAGGGTGTCCAATGCAAATGTAGGGTCTCCAATGAAAATGTAAGGGTCTCCAATGCAAATGTAAGGGTCTCCAATGCAAATGTATGGGTCTCCAATGCAAATATAAGGGTCTCCAATGCAAATGTAAGGGTCTCCAATACAATGTAAGGGTATCCAATGCAAATGTAAGGGTATCTAATGCAAATGTAAGGGTCTCCAATGCAAATGTAAGGGTATCCAATGCAAATGTAAGGGTCTCCAATGGAAATGTAAGGGTCTAATATCTTCCTATAAGTACTCCTATGAATCAATTTATTTGTGGAAGGAATACATCATTAGTAAAACTTCAAATTATAAACTTAAATAGTTTTTATTTCTAAAAATTGTTTAGAAATGAGGAATCCCAGAAAGTTACAGGTATTTAATCAAATGATTTTTTCTTTTCATTGTGGTTTTAGAAATTTTAAGAGCTTCACATATTCAACTTGTTTTCTTCTTTTTTCACACTCTGTTTCAAATGATGAATGAAAGTAGCTAGTAGCTAGTAGCTAGTTTGTTGGGCATTCGATTCCCTTCGTATTTTAAGATTTTTTAAGTTTTCGGACTTTAAAAGAGTTTTCGCAAAATGACGTTTTATAAATTTTCAAACTGGTTTTTTTCTAAACATGTAAAATTTTATCTCATGGAGCCACACAAATTTAATTTTTATTTAAAAACAAGTAAATCTTTTATTTCTTCCAAGTGAAAACGAAACCAAAAATGTTAACAAAAATAAATGGTTTAAGCGCATAACCAAAATTTAAATAATCTAACTGTAGGTCCGTTTCAATTCCAACCCAATGGCGGCCTGTCACCCTTCAAGTAAGTCTTTTTTTTTAGTATTTTTGCAATGCTGTTATTTTTTGTTTGTTTATAAATCCTTTCGTATAAACTCAATATCAAAGATGTGTTTTGTAAATATATTCAAATCAATCTTACAAACTAAATCAATTAAGTTATTTTGATTAATCTAATTGGTTGACATTTTAAATGATAAAAGCATTGTTTTTTTTTCTAGGCAGACAAATGGCGGGAAAAGAGGTAAACAAATTTTTTATTAAACTATACACTATGCAGGGTGTCCCATAAAACGTAAATATCGTTTTTGATCTTAGAAAGAAATTGAACTTTCAATTTTCATTTTTTCCTAGAATAGATATTTAAGATAAATGTTAATTACAATTAAAAACTGACTGAAAACGTGTAATTTCAAGGCCCTATTGTCTGATTAAGTATGAATTATATATAGCTTTGAAAACTTAAGTGTCTAGTACATTTCAACTCTAGGAAAACATACAGAAATTATCACAATGTAACCCTAGAAAAACGACAATATCTTCCACATTATTGATCAGAAAAAGGTTTTAAGAGAGTCATTCTGAATATGGCATTGACATCTTTGTCCAAAAAGGAAGGCCAACCACAACAATTTCTCGTCCGAGCCACATTCTCCTCATTTTCTCGTCCGAGCCACCTCGGAATCCTCGTCCTTCGATTATTTTTTGTTTAAAGTTTCCAATTCTTGAAGATAAAACTATTTTTTAAAAATCTGGCCTTGTTAGAGCATAAAATATTGCAATGATTATATCATGTTGGAATCTTCAAACCCATGAGAATGATGTCAAACTTTATTTAGGTAAAACTTAAATCTCTTCTGTCTCCGTAATGGCTGACCATTGCGATATTAAATAAATAACAAAATATTCGGTATACCTATGCCTATCATTTTCCACACGGAACCACCCGAAAAAATTCTATGGTTTTCACTATATTTAACACAAAAGATTAAAGTTTTATAAACTCGGAATTATTTGCGGCATTTTTTTTTGATTTACAAAAATTTCACATTTCATTTATGCCCTATCGTGTTCTGATTCTTTAAAAAAAGTTTCTGTGAAGATTAGACGCTTAAGAAAATTAATATTGAAAGGACGAGGATTTCGAGGTGGCTCGGACTAGAAAATGAGGAGAATGTGGCTCAGACGAAAAATTGTTGTGGTTGGCCTTCCTCCCCTCGTCCCAATAAACATGGGAATTAAGAGACAACTGGAAAATCGTCCTTGACGTCTGTTAGTGGATAAATGATTAACAAAAAGTAATTAAACAAAGATTTGACGTCATATGAGCTTTATAAAATATATGTAGTCTTCCTTCTTTGTGTCTTCAAGTTGATGGAGATATAAAATAGTGTTTTCTAAATATCTCCGTCAATTTTAAAGGTGTAAAAATTGTAAACCACGTTTATTTGGGAGTGGGACTCTCTGGACACGGACAGCTGTGGTACATCTGAATCTCCGAGCTGGGTCAACCTTTCCGGTCCCAGTTTGTACTGTACCTAGCTTTATGGACAGGACAAGCCGGTGCAACTAGGTTGATGCAGTCAGAATTTATTCTTTCTATAGGTTCAATTTACTTTTACTAAAGGGGCAGAGGTGTGTGTGATAATTATTTAAGATAAAAGAATGTCAGTCTTTCACTTGTCTCTTCAATTGTCACTTTTGCAGATGATTCTTAATTTTGAATACATACATTTTTTAATACAAAATATTACAAAAATGAATGAATACAGATCTAAATTAACTATTTATAACACTATTATTTTGGTTTGCAGTGTTATAAAGTTTTTGGACAGACAATTTCTCTTTGTTGATAAGGTTCAAGCCTTTTAAGATTTTATTTTGTCCCAAGCTTTAGCTATAATGGACAATTATATACAAGGCTATTTCTAGATAAGGAAAGCAGAACTAAAAATGTTAAGTTCAATAAAGTTTTATAAAAGTATTTTATATTTTATAGTTTATTTGCCCAGATCTCAACCTGTGGATCCTCCAAAGTAAGCTATTTTATATTTTATAGTTAATTTGCCCAGATCTCAACCTGTGGATCCTCCAAAGTAAGCTATTTTTTGTCTCCACAGTTTTTTAATATTTTAAAGTCACAAAATGTTGTGATCATATTTTTTTAATATATATTTGTAAAGGGAAGTCTTAATATATAACTGATATATGAAGGTCTTTATAATTATCTATTTTGAATGATTTTTGAGGGTTTTCTATTTTGCAGTTTTAATCAATCAACACTAGTAGGAGTGGCTGGTAAGTAAACTAAATTATAAATATTTAATTTTACATAAGTATTTATAACTACAGTGATAACCAGATAACTCTGAAATAGGAAGACGACTTTATGACAATACTTAATGGTATTTGATGTTGTTATAACTTGAGTCTAAACAGTCGCGTAGTGGGGGGGGGCGGTACCCCTGTGCCCCCTAGGCCCCGCCTAGAGCCAGAGGCAGGCTCTAATTTATTAAACAGTAAATTTACATTTATATTGAGATTTTTTACTTTTCTTATCAATCGACAATGTCACAATTTGTCCATTTTATGATTATTTCTCAAATTCTTTCTTATTTACAATATTTTTTTTTCGCGTGGTTTCATTTAAAATGATTGGTCATTATGGTCAGATGACTAATGGTCAGCCTTCAGGTAGATTAATATAGATTTTAAACTTAATTGTTTCTTAATACTGGTTTTTAGGGGGGTGCACATCAACCGTAAGGGGTGGTGCTCAAAAAAATTCCCCCCCCTAGGCTAAACCTCCACTATGGCCTGAGTATAAAAGTCATCTTCTATTCCAGAGTTTTCTGTTTCTCACTGTGTGTAGTATTCTTTAAAAGAACTATTGCTTTAAGACTCTTAATTTTCATTTCATCCTTTCTGTCAAGATCTCAGATTAGATATAAACAGACTGAATGCTAACCAGCTTTCACAGTCTGGGCTAAGTAGACCTATTGTCGTACTGGCATGCCATGTTATATTCTTACACAAGGTTTTAGACTGCTATCTTACCCCCACTTGTTGTATATAAATTAATACCCATTCAGGGCCCAGGGTGTAGTAAATGCCCTACTCCATAAGGGTTCCTCAAACCCGTATCTATCCAGGTACAACTCTTTAAAGACTTTAAATGTCAAACTCTGGACACGATCCCAACTGTGCTATCAATGCCAAACCACTGGGCACGATCTCAGAGACTATCATTGCCAAACATGGGGTACAATCTTAACTATTCTATCAATGCCAAACCACTGGACACTATCCCAACTATGCTATCAATGCCAAACACTGTGTAGGATCTTAACTATTCTATCAATGCCAAACCACTGGGCACAATCTCAGAGACTATCGATGCCAAACACTGTGTAGGATCTCAACTATTCTATCAATGCCAAAGCATGATCTTATAAACTTGTATGCTAAATGAGGAACGATTACTTCTCTACCATAATCAAAACAAAGTATATTCCAAGTAATGTGTATTTAGATATTTATATTATAGATTAAGTTTAATATATGTATTTACAAGATTAGCAAAGATATATACAACGTAGTTAAGCTGATCACAATATGGGTTTAACAGAGATATATATATATATATATACATGTAATAAATACAGTTTGAACACAACTAGACAAATTGACATTCATAACTGACAAGATCGTTCCCAGAGTTTTAGTATTGATAGATTACAAGCTGGTGTCGATGTTGACATTAATAGCTGATGAGCTGCCGTCTGAATTGACATTTATAGCAAAATGTGATTGAGTTGTACCTGGATTGGTGCAGTTTTGGACAAAGTCTTAAGAGTACGGCATTTACCACATATGTATCGTGGTTAGGTTAATCGCAATATAAATTTGCATATTTACTGATAAACGCATTTAGGTTTATGGACAATGTACAACAGACATTTCAATTTTACAACTTTTATACTTTAAGATAAAACATAAAATTGATGAATTTAGTCTACTTTGATGGTTTTGTATTTCATATACAAAGGATCTTAAACATTAAACATCACTGAATATAGACATCTACTTATTGGTCGTGTACTCCTGTTGTATGCAATGGAAATATCGCAATTCTAGTCTTTAATATATCTCTGTACTCTCTTATCTCTGGGTCCAAATATTGTACTCTAGAATTTACACCAAATGATGTAATGCACAATGAACTCAGTTTCGGTGGATGTAAGAATGTAGAATGGTTGCTTGTAAACTAATTCACTACTGAAACTCAAGGCAGAAACTGGACTGAAACCAAAACATGAAATTGAACTCAAAATTCAACTCCCCTCTATCTACCCTGCCCCCTTTCCCTCCCACCGCCATCATCCTCATATCGAAATTGTAGAATTTTGTTTCGGTCCTTACTTTCTCTTGACTGAAAAAAGGTGTTGCATTTTTCTCCTACTTTTGAAACTTACTGTCAGTGCAGTTCAAAAGTAAATTTGTTGTGAGAAGATGAGAGTTTTTTTTTTGTATCTGTAACAAATATAACAAAGATAATTTTCTTTAAATGTCCACTGTCCAGTTGGAAATGGGAAAGATAAAATTTCCATAAAACATTAATTCTGAAATTCTAATAAAATGTTTGTAATGTTTACAGTAATTCGATTATGGGACTTAACAGGATTGTTCTGAGACTGTTGATAGGTGTTTCTTTTTTCCTACTAAAAAATGTTCCTCATGTTATGTTTAGCTTCTGTTTTGGTTCATTTAACTAATGCAATGTTTTTTATTAGGACCTTTCGAGCCAACCAAAAATGGAGGGATGGCTCCTGTATTGCAAAAAGAATCAGAAAAGGTTCAGACAAGAATGGGTACCATTTCGGTAGAAAACCCAAAAGGTTAGTAGCTCCACACTGTAAACTAGCTCAATTAATCCCTTTAATAGTATTAAAGAGAAATTGATATTAAATTAATTCTCAGCTGAGATCTGGAAACAAACAGAATGTCATTTTATTCAATAAACTGGTCGGGAGCACTGAAAGCTAGCCAAGGTAGCATGCTTTCTAGTTTCGTCATGAAGGAGTGAAGAGCTCACTAGATTATTGTGGTTCCCATTGATATCACATTTTTGGATAGAAAATTTTCTCTGAAGGTTTAAGTCGCTTATATCATATATTGTCCCCAGCTTTAGGGAAGGACAAAATAGGAGTTCTTCTATTTTTACCTCAGTGATTTAAAATTTTTTTGAGATTCTATCAAATCAATACTTTTAAAAAAATATTTTTTGTTTTTGATAGGTTGTGGGGACTGAATCAAGATAATAACGTGAAAATTAAAATTGTAAATTTAAAGAACTAGAGTGCGTAAAAAAGTCATCAAAGTGTAAATGTGATTCCAACTGACCCTTTATGCTGTAATACTTATACTACTTATAGCTACTTTAGACTAAACTCCTCCTCCCTTTCTCTGAGTCATGGTAGAATATATAATCTGGAGATTGAAGTAGTGCACCCGGATCCTTCGAACAGTATAGATGTAGAGGTCACTCCGTTTGTACAACAAAGACTCTGAGGGACATACTATACATATATATAGATAGATGGATATACTACATGCTTGTCGGAGAACAAAGGAGGACACCAGACTCCTCCCCCATCATTATGCGTGAATAGGCATGCTCCACCTACAGACCAGAACTAATCAGATCCTGCTCTATGATTCTTTACAAGGGCCCAATCTTGCTTGTGATCTAGAGCAGCTAGACTATACTCCAGGAGAAGAAGAGATCATGAGGATATACAAGGATGGAGTATACTGACCGTCTGATATGATTGAGAGACCTGAAGGTTTCTAGATAAGGAGATTCTGTGTTGGACCAGAGAGACCTGTTGTAGGTTCAGCAGAAGAGGAACTTAATGCACACAAGAGACACTGTTTTTGGTCAAGCAGCTATTTACAGGCCTGTTGTAAGTTCAACAAAAGATGATCCTGATGCAGGAGATGCTTTTCTTGGTTGAGCAGCTCTTTAATTCACAGACCTGTTGTAAGTTCAACAGAAGATGATTCCGAAGCAGGAGATGCTGCTCTTGGTTGAGCAGCTCTTCACAGACCCTGTTGACAGAAGATGATCCTAATGTAGGATAACGGTAGAAGCAGCAAATGAACCAGCAGTGAATGTACAAGCTGTTGTTGAGAGATTGCAAGCTTGGTTGAAGGATGATATATCCTCTTCTGAAGACTCTAATCACAGAACTCCCAGTCCAGATATAGAACTATGAGAGTTATTCAAGTTAGAGGAAGCTGCTTAGATAGATCCTGAACCAGAGCAGCTGAACATAAGTCCTGATGTAGAAGATTAATCTGAAGAGGTAGACACCAAACATCCTCCTACGCTCAACCTCAAGATAAAGGATGACAGAGAACAAATGTGAATTGCTTATCAGAGTTACCTAAATAATTGAAGGAGAATTGCTGCTATTGAGGGTCAGTTCAGAGCATATAACAATCTGGATCTCCTCCTTCCTCATGATGTCTTTGAACTACATCCTGGTCCAGCACAAACACAAGCTGAGCTAGATATGCTCATAACCATCATAGCCCGGCAAAGAACCCATATACTTTTCCTAGCTGTACATGGGTTCCAAATATTATGAAGGCCTGATTAAATCAAAACTAACTTTGTACAGCTGTATCCTAACAATAAAAATCTAAACGATGACATGACTCTAATCATTAGTAATCCTAAAAGATATTCAGAGAGAGATTATAAAGGGATTTATAAGGATTACTGGGATCTAAGGTGAAATGTTTACATATACCATACCCATGGGAGTAAATTGTGGATCCCTTGGATTAATACTTGGATCGAAGAAATCAGTCCTAGTAAGATGTCAAGACAAAACAATTAGGAGTATATTTTGAAACGTTATAAATACTTCAATGCAAAGATGACAATGCCGATTCACAACACTGCCTTTAGGTATTTTGTTCCACTAATTACTTTCCATGACTGTATTTGTTCTTAATCAGCAGTTTTTGTAAAGAAATATTTTAAGATGACAAAGAAACTTACCATCATATTTTAAATTGGAACCCTTTCATACAAAAATTATATTTAATTCATTCTCAAAATTATCATTAATTTTCAATCTTTTTTTTAAAATTTTCTCACTTAATGATCGTTCAGTAAAGTCATTCATTCAATAAAATTGTTATTTCCACTAAAAAATGATAGCTTTTAAAAACTTGGTTCTAAAAAAATGCTCGTTCAGCTTTTGGATGGCATTATATGATGAAAAGGTAGACAAATATAAAGTTTAAATGTACAACAAATAACTAGAATAACCAGAAAAAACATGCCCCATTGCTTGGTTTTGAATTTACTTCTTTGATTCTCTGCGTCTGAACCTTTATGAAACATTCAACCCTCCACATTTTTTACAACAAGGCCTTTGCAACAAAGCCTTTTCAGACTGTATTCAAACCCTACTTCTGCGCAAGTTAAGGCGGTCCTGTACATAGTGTTTACTATATAAACAATGGAACATGCATAATTCTTTACTCTGTAATTATCTACATGAAATAAATCTGCATAAGTACGTAAGTTGATTTCATTTTCATAGAGTCATTTAAAAATTGAAAAGAATATTAGAGAAGAGGCTTCTTTTTGGGAATAGATCAATAGCAATTTATGCTTTTATAAGTATTGTTAGAAATTGAATAGATAGTTGTCAGGTATAAATTGTAAAATTGTTCTTGAGAGTGAATTTTGATCAAATATTGCCCAGAGATTGAAAGTTGAATATTTTCTAAGATTGTTTAGATTCATATTTTTTTCTAAATCTTGCAGAAAATTCATTCATTCAGTAAAAACTGAATAAAATGTCAAATTCATTTTTTGATTATTTTTTTGTTTGTTTAAAAAAACGATTGTTAAAGTAAAATGTTGTTCTTTCCCAAAAATTTTGTTCTTTTACAAAAACGATGCACATCTCTACTTATAGAAAAAGTATTCAGAAACATTTATGACCATGTCACAAGAATTTCTCAATTTTCTCAAAAATTAGTTTTTAAAACTTGTCTCAAAAATTTATTTTCCAAAAAATCTCTGTTTGTGACAAATTATTTATAATAAATATATAGATAATTAAAAAATGTTTAAAAATTTTTTTTCCTTAATTACTATGTTTATTATTAGGACCTTTTGAACAAAGCAAGAATGGAGTGGTGGCTCCTGTGTTGCCAAATCAATCAAACGTAAGTATAAAGGGATTTCTACATAATTCAAATTGAATCTTAATTTATGTAATATTTGATTCACAACATTATTTTATTTCTGAAAATTGATGATGGTTTATTGAGGTCCCTTAAACTTTGAATAAGGGTTAGGCTTTCCAGTCGTAATTTCGTTACGTGTAATTATGTGTAATTTTGCATAACACTTTCTTTCACTCACGCAGGAGCATTACCCGTAATTACGCATTTATTATGTTTACGAAAGAAAGTCTAGTTTCGCGTAATTAATGCGTAATTACGTGAAATTATGTAATACAAAACAATTCCGTAATAAATAAAGTGCATATTAATTCTCAGAAATAATTATAACGGGAAAGTATGTGTAAGGATATGCCCACTACAACCATGTCAAACATATTTTGGCGATTTTATTGACATTATTGTCAAACAAGGAAGGTAAACATGATAAAGTAGGTTGAAATATTAGCAAGTCGTTGAAAATTGAAAATTTAAAGATTATGTATTTTTTTGATAAAAATAAATTGCTGGCCCTTTGTTAAAATTTTTAGTTGTCGAACGTGAAAATTACATCAACATAGTATTTGCTGAAATTTCTGATTCAACTTGCGTGACATTATTTTCCTTGTAAGTTAGTTGTTTTATTTAAATTAAAAGTTAAAACTTTCAAAGATGTAATTATTGCAAAATTTCGCAAAATTACTTTGTAGAAATTACGGTGTAATTTCGGGAAATTGAAGTTTCGCTAATTATGCCTAATTAATACAAAATTTCGAAAAATTACCTTGTAGAAATTATGCCGTAATTACGCGTAATTATAGTTTCGCCTATTACGCGTAATCATTATAAAATTTTGCAAAATTACGTTGTAGAAATTACACGAAATGAAAATTATTATGCGTAACTGCATGTTATTACACGAAAGAGAATAATCTATTACGTTGGAAACCTTAATAAGGGTTTGAATTTTTAAAGTTTAAATTTAATTTTAAAACATTTCAGACACCGCAGCAAAGTGTCCATGGTGGTCCATGATGTACTGGTCCGTGGTGCAGTGGGGAGGTTGACAGTAAGAATAGATACGAAGAGGGGTATAATTATTTGAAATAAACTTGCACATAAGAATAAATTAGAAAATTCCTTTATTTATTTCTCTCTTAATGATTACTGTTTTTGAACATAAGCTAATATTGTGTCATGTTCTAAAGAATTTTATATATAAAAGGGCAAATCCAGTTCAATTGTCTTAAACTATGTAATTGTTTTGCAAAATGAAACCTGAAAATAACCTTAACAGATTAATGTTATATTACACTATTATTATAAATATAAGTTTTTGTTACTGTTATGTGTGGTAATTTCTTGACACTCACTAATAAATTCAGATAGATCAATTACCTAGCCATAACCTGAGACAGTTTTATACGTCTTGGATTTGCACTCAAGTCGGGAAATCAGATGTCTTCAAGACTCCTATTTTAAACTTATTTTAATCGTCTTCATAAGACTAAAAGACGCTGTTCAAGACAGTGCTCAGAAATAGTGGAGTCAAATTACTAATGGGAAACTCACTGCAGGGGTCTGTTGCAGTTTGCCCGTATTTCTCTCTGTCTGTTCCTTGCAGCGCGAGCAGGGGAAGGCAGTCGGCCATGAGCTACCACTATTTCCCCTTCCTTACCACATATTAGCTTTTTTCTCTTCCCGCAGCAATGAGCCACCACTATTTCCCCTTCCGTACCACCACTTTTGGCTCTTCCAGGCAAAACTATTATTTAAATGGTATATTTAGGGCCTTTAAAGTGTGATTTTAAAAAGTCCAGTGGCGTCACGCAAAAAAGGACAACTCAAACCATTTTTTCAATTCAATTCAATTCTTGAAATATCACAAAGTTGGTTAATGAGTGATTTTAAGATGCATTTAGTCAGTAAGTGAATAATCATTAGACTTTGTGATATTTCAAGATGCAATATTCAGTAAAATTTTCAAAAACAGTTTAAGATTTCAACACACAAAATATTAATCTTAAATAGAATTGAAAAAAATGGTTTGAGTTTTGCTTTTTTCTGTGAAGCAGCTGGATTTTTAAAAATCACACTTTAACCCTATTCCCGCTGGGGGGGGGTCAATTTGACCCCCCCTGTAGTTTTTTTTACATAACTCAAAAAGTATTGGTCTGAGGCTGTTGAAATTTTCTGACTTTTCTTACATACCCAAAGCCCTCCCTTTAGGTCTAAAACCGGGCTTTTATACTAACTGCCTGAGTCCTCAGGCACACTGCCTGAATGACTGCTTTTTCCAGTGGTACGGAAGGGGAAATAGTGGTGGCTCATGGCTGCCGGAAGAGAAAAAAGCTAATATGTGGCAGGACAGGGGAAATAGTAGTGGCTCATGGCCGCCTGCCTTCCCCCACTCGCAGCACCACATGTTTTTTGCCAGTGCAGCTGTTTTCAAGCTGTTCTCCACACCCCCCTCCCTACACCCTTCTTAATCCCCATCTTAATACTCAACTCATAGGAAATCTGAGGACATCTTCAAAAAATTTTATAGGATGTCTTAATATAGGCTCTGCAATTCATAACATAGGGTTCCCCCCCCACCAAAAAAAAATCTCTTCACATGACGTCTTGAGAACGTTTTAAAAAGCATATTTAGGACGTCTTGAGACGTCCTGACTGGTTCTTCACAAGATGCTGTCAAGTGGGGGCTTACACAGGGTTTACCCCAAAATAAAATAAAAACTTTTTAGGATGGTAAAACGTGCCCCTTCCTAAAAATATTTTTTTTTGGAAACTTGTGTTCACCCTGACGCGACAGTGTCTTGTGAAGAACCAGTCAGGATTGTCCTAAATATGGTTCTATGTCTGAACTTCATAATTTTCAAAATATTTTTTTCAAATTTTCAATTTTATTCAAAAATGTTCCCTGAGGAACAGAAATATTCTTTTTTTTCATACAATGCATAGTTTTAGAAAAAAGGACAGTGGTCAATATCGACCACTTTGTCAACACGGGATCTTAAAATGACCAATATCAACTGCTCCAGAACATAGCAAAGTTTAAAATTTTCTATTAAAAGTAAATATATCTATAGTTAAACATTGAAAACAGCTTGTATGCAGCTTAAATATCTTGACACAAAATGAGGGGGGGGCAATTACCCTCTTCTGAAGACTCTAATCACAGAACTCCCAGTCCAGATATAGAACTATGAGAGTTATTCAAGTTAGAGGAAGCTGCTTAGATAGATCCTGAACCAGAGCAGCTGAACATAAGTCCTGATGTAGAAGATTAATCTGAAGAGGTAGACACCAAACATCCTCCTACGCTCAACCTCAAGATAAAGGATGACAGAGAACAAATGTGAATTGCTTATCAGAGTTACCTAAATAATTGAAGGAGAATTGCTGCTATTGAGGGTCAGTTCAGAGCATATAACAATCTGGATCTCCTCCTTCCTCATGATGTCTTTGAACTACATCCTGGTCCAGCACAAACACAAGCTGAGCTAGATATGCTCATAACCATCATAGCCCGGCAAAGAACCCATATACTTTTCCTAGCTGTACATGGGTTCCAAATATTATGAAGGCCTGATTAAATCAAAACTAACTTTGTACAGCTGTATCCTAACAATAAAAATCTAAACGATGACATGACTCTAATCATTAGTAATCCTAAAAGATATTCAGAGAGAGATTATAAAGGGATTTATAAGGATTACTGGGATCTAAGGTGAAATGTTTACATATACCATACCCATGGGAGTAAATTGTGGATCCCTTGGATTAATACTTGGATCGAAGAAATCAGTCCTAGTAAGATGTCAAGACAAAACAATTAGGAGTATATTTTGAAACGTTATAAATACTTCAATGCAAAGATGACAATGCCGATTCACAACACTGCCTTTAGGTATTTTGTTCCACTAATTACTTTCCATGACTGTATTTGTTCTTAATCAGCAGTTTTTGTAAAGAAATATTTTAAGATGACAAAGAAACTTACCATCATATTTTAAATTGGAACCCTTTCATACAAAAATTATATTTAATTCATTCTCAAAATTATCATTAATTTTCAATCTTTTTTTTAAAATTTTCTCACTTAATGATCGTTCAGTAAAGTCATTCATTCAATAAAATTGTTATTTCCACTAAAAAATGATAGCTTTTAAAAACTTNCCCCAGTAAAGCCCAGTACTTTGCAGTACATTGTAGTACCCTGTACCCTAAAGCACTCTGTATTCCCTGTTACAATAAGTTTCCATTAAAAGATTTTCGAATTACAAATTGGTGTTTTTGCCATTCCTCCCTCCAATTAATCATCAGCTGTTTAGTTTTGAATCATCAACAGAATGTCTTTTATACTGTTTTACACAAATGAAAATAATGCAAAACTGGAGTTAAGTGCAACCCAGAAAAGCTTCTTTAAGTTCCAAATATTTTTGTTCAAAATAAAAATTCTGTTTGGTTTGGCAACTTTTTTTTGCAGAATCTTTCTTACTTTCTGAAAGGTTTTACATCGGTATGTTTGAGGATATCTACTCGATATAAAGCAATATTTATTAATACTTATTTTGACTCAAACTCTTACTAAATGAATATAGAAAAAATATGCCGGTTTAAGAAAGTTTTAGATATATATTTGCAATCATCCAGAACAAAAAGTTTTTTCAAAAATTAAACTTAAAAAGTTTTATAGAAGTTTTTAAAACTAAGCAAAAAAAATCATTTCTGACACCCCTAGGCTTTGTACGCCAAAATAATTCACCAAATCCATACTGCAGTCCTTCAATTATCATACAGGGAAATTTTCATCTTTCTAAACATCCCAACGAATGATTTGACAGGTTCTTTAGAAAATTCCGAGTTTAGTAAATTATGCAAATTGTCTGAAATATTAGAGTTACATGCAAATATAAACTTCCTTAGTTTAAACAATGCATGTCGTCAGAAACATTCATAAACATATTTTAATTTTAAGCTATATCTGGCATACCGGCTGGACCAAATTGGCTGACATTTTTTTTAGGGGACTCATGGGTATCTCGGGGGTAAGATTGGCTAAATAATCGATCTTTTCAAGATGGAATTTTTTTTCAACATTTTTTTCAAATTTTAAAAAATTCCACGGGCAAAGCCAGGCACTTCAGCTAGTGTTCAATATGAAAGGTATGTAGAATATGGTTCTCAGGAACTGTTAGATAAATAATGTTAGTAAAACCAGCCCAGACTTCGTATCCATAGAGAATAGAATATATAGAGAGGAATTAAAAGAATCTCTCGGTATGAATTTTTTCAGTCCCTTTCAGCCTGAAAGGGAGTTCAAAGTGTACAAATCATGTAAATGTTCACAAATTATATGCAGTAGAGTACATTAATACAGTATGTTCCCTAGACTATCCATTTCAATTTCGAATTTTTTTAAACTGTTAAATAAACTTCATAATGAATTAGGTGAATAAAAACATCTTTTGATTTATAGTTATAACGGAGTCTATGTGAAATGATCATTGGTCATTATGAAACCAGCCTATTTCATAATTTGGTTTTCTTTTAACAATAATTTTAGATTTTCAATAAAATGATATTCCAGGGCCCAACAGGTTATATAGAATAAATATGTGAAGTACACCCGCAGTATGGAAACAGTACAACAAAATGGCCGTTTTACACTTTTTTCCAGTAAACTCCTCTCTATATATTCTATTCTCTATGTTCGTATCCTGTCCAGATTTACTGCTTTTGTTTACAATCTTTATTATTGTTCTGCTAAAACTAGTTCCTAGAAGCCCAAATATACGTCACTGTCAAATGTTTTCACAAACCCTATCCCTCCCCCTCCGCCTAACTTTAGTTTATATATTTCCCAATATTAAAGGGACTGTAAGCGTAAGTTTAAGGGACCCTTAATATTCAAAGATTGCAATGTCCGATTTACAACAGTACTCTTAAAACCTAATAATCGGATCAAACATTTGAAAGATTTCGTTTTTCTTGCTCGAAAAGTGTTTAAGTCAGAAATTTTATCTAGTCTTTCTTATAAGCAAGAAATGCGCAAGTCACATTTGCAGATAACCCACATATCAAGATAAATAGTTTTCAAAAACAGTCCCTTTAAGATGTTCCACATAATTAGTGGGACGCATATCAAATGATTTCACCTTGGTTCTATCCATGCACATTTTTCTTAAATCCAAATACTAAAATAGGTGAAATAGGTGAATAATACTTTTTTAAAACTTATTCAACCCCTTTTCTCTCCCTACCCCTCCCCCCCCCTCTATTGTCTGCAGAAATAAATTTTTGTCATCGGCATTTTTAAGTTTGACCCAAAGCTACGCCATATGAGTTTGGGAACATTTTCCTTTTTAAAAGGTTCTTGAAACCATACCATCATGAAAACGGGAGAAAAGTTATAAGAAATATCCATGTCAACATTTTCATGTTAATTTTGTTGTTGTTATGTAATTTTATATTTTGTTTAATGTCCCTGAACTTTTGATACTTTAATCAAACGAATAAGATATTTCTGATTTCTCTGAGAGAGTTTGTTATTTTTATAGTGTTTTCTTTATAAACGTGAATTGTGGACATTCTCTTTAACAGTTTGCATACTTCAAAGTCTCAATGTTTTCCCTCAGTTTATATTAAATTTATGTCACAGAAAATATAAATTTATTTTAAAATATTAAACTTTAAACTCATCTCATGGGACTATTAAAAGAAAAATAAAATAAAGTTTTATTAAATTCGTGAAATTTAGAATACATTGATCAAACTTTACTCTCGAAAGCCTTATACAGTTTTTTAAATATTTATTAAATTATGTTATTCTTAAAATTTTTAAAAATAACTCACTTTCAAAAGTAATTTAAATCTTCAGGCGATTAGAATATTTTCAGTTTGTGAAAAATGAATCTAAAGAGCAATGACACAGTATTGCTGAATTGCTTTGGAAAAAAATAATAGTTAAATAAGCAATAAATGATTCAGTCTTGAGTCGAGTAAGGTCGTTAAACCGCCGTACAGCTTTACATACGACGGAGTTAGGGGTGACGGGGGAAACCCACAGGTCCCCGAGGTCGCGGGATGCATGTACGATTAGGCCAGAAACCTACTAGATTAGAAGAACAAACATTTTTTAACTTTTTGCGTGTAAACAAAAATAATTTTTTTTTCATACATGTCCTTAAAAATCCAAACAAGTTAAGTAACGAGGTCACAAAGTCGTACCTTCTCCCTCTGTTTAATGGAGTGTGATTTACAAATGACATGTATAAATAAGAGCACTGGATATTTTTGCAGAGATATCCCAGTGAAAATACAATACTCTTAGAAGTAATATTTCTAATTAAAAGAAAGACCGATGACAGTAATCCCACCTTCTATTGGGTATCCTTGTATTTCAGATTATATCAGGGTAAACTGACCTGTTCGTTGTTGAACTATAGTTACTAGCTGAGAGAATGGAACCACCAAACTGGAATTCATATTTGCTCGAGAATCTAATTAAATTTTCTAAATTTATATTCATTACAAAGAAATTGAGTTTTTGCCACAAACTCAAGTTTTGTAATTCCAATATCTTTGCAACCTAATCATGTAAACCGTTAATATTTCAAACTTAGGCTATGTGATCTAACAGATTTCATAGTTTGAAATATCTAAGGTCTACGACATCGGGTTTCAGAGATATAGGTATTACAAAATTAGAGTTTGCGACAAAAACTCATGTCTTTAGTTTGGTTGGACTAGCATGGTGCACTAATGACTGAATATAACACAGTTAAGTAAACGTAATGTGTATAAAAATAATAAAGTGGTTTTTCAGATTAATAAATTTGTCCAGAATTTATACAGCGAAGAAGTCCAATACTGATAGTAAGTAATAAACAGAATAAAAATTTTGGATTAGTCCAAAATTCCAAATAGTTTAAAAATGACCTTTTATTATTGAATCAGAATTAAATATCTAACTCGATTTGCGCCTTTTAACAGATAAAAAAAACGTTAATGTTTTAGTTTTTAGTTATTTTAAATCCTAAAATATTGAAATGTACAAAGATAAAATCTATGTGACAGGACTCATGAATTGTTTTGATATGTTTAAATGCATTTAAAAATTTTGAAACTTTGAGAGGAAAATAGGATTTGACGACCTTGTAGTAATCCGGGTACATTTATCTTTTAATGGAAACATTTCAACAAATCTCTTTTATTTCTGAAGAGAAACTAGAAGATCTATAAAGAGTTCCGGATTTTTAGCTTAGAAAACATTTTACTTTATTAAGCAGGATAGCTCCAAGTTAATTTGACTACACATGGAACCCGTCAAACTGCGGACCAAGTTATGATTTTAAATAGGTCAATGAACATGAGATTTAACACCGTCTTTCTATTCTACCATTTTTTAAATTAGATTAACAAATATACATTTTAAGCGAAACCAGGAAGTTTTTTGTTTCAACAATTTTTTTTTCAAACAATTTTTTGTTTTTGATTGCTAGGGATGGAAACGTACCGACTAAACGCTAAAGCCACAGATTTAAGATACAAGACTTATTTTCCAAGATTTCAGGTCGTAATTTTTTTATCAATGATCTTAGCGGGAAAAAACTTTATTGATTGAAACATGTATTCTCTATGAGATATCAACAGCATAAAAAATGGTTTAGTGGCTTCTCCTGGGATAAAATATACAGAAGTTTCAACCTCAGGCTGCAAATATTCAATTGAAAATATAGTATAGATTATAGGTCTGTTGAGTAAATATTAATATATTCTGGTGTGTTGATGAAGAGTGTCTGGGAACTGTAATATGATTGATCATTGACTCATGATTTGGTTCCTCAGAACACATCTTGGATATCTATATATTCCATTTATATAAATGTATATAAATTGTATCAAAGAGAAGCTTATGAATATCTTATTCAAATTCTTGAACTAAAATAACTATTTTCTGTTCAATATCTCAGTTTTAAAAATAATGCATTTCTTTTTTTAGTTTAATTAATTTTTCCAGCTTCAATTATTTATTTCTAAATATTTTGAATGCAAAACTATTTTTTCTGGTAATTTCTTCCAATGCAAGGTGCCATGGAGGGAAATAAGGCACTTTTAAAAACTCTCACAATGGACAACAATTTTTCAGATATACTGACACAAATATCTAGTACAAATATTTCTTCAAAACTGAAATTAGAAACCAACAAGTTTCATTACCATGGTTATGTATATTTGTAAGAGATTGGAATGGTAACGTTAAATTAAGAATAATGGACGAACCACTTTTAAAATACAATTTACATAGAAAATTAGAATTTATGACAAGTGTTTAGTTCTTTAAACACACTTATCTGATAAACTACTTTTGTGTTTTTAAAATTCCGCACATCCTCAGCTAAGCTTACGGTGTGTTCTGCAGTTATTTGCAGTATGACCGGAGAAATAGTGCGTTTTTATGGAGAGTGCGCTTTATATCATGGTTTCTAATTACCCGAAGCTGTATAAAGTTTCCATTTCTGAAGCCCAGTTTGGATAAACACAGGTTAAATTAGTTTTCTCCTCTTCACGGACCAACCTATACAAAATATACAAAATATACAAAATATACAAAATAAACAAATATGCAAAATATACAAATATGCAAAATATAAAAATATACAAAATATACAACATATACAAAATATACAAAATATACAAATATGCAAAATATTCAAAATATACAAAATATACAAGAAAGTTTTTTTCTAAGGTTTCTGGAATACCGTTTTATCTTTTTAAAATGTTAAAATCATGACAAAAGTAAACGAATATTCTTTTCAGTTCAAACTTAATTTTAAAAACTTTTAAAAAAAATTTTACAACATTTTTTAGGGCTGAAGGGATCTGAGTGTTTGCCACAAACTCTAATGTTCTAATTCCTATATCTTCGTAAACCAATGTCGTATGACAAATTTTGATTTTCACTGTACCCTGAAATGCCTTTTTGTTAATTTAAGGGATCATATATTCAATCTATAAGTTTTTATCCAAGCTGAGGGCAAAGTAATCCAATTCTGTGAAAACAACAGAAACCAAGGTATGTTAAGGCAGCATAATATCAAGTTTAATTCCCCTGGAAATCTTCGGATCAGATTATTTCGGTTAACTCGCGGGGGAATTTATTTATTGAATTAATCAATTCAGATGAAAGGAGAATTCAACTCGAAGATATTCCTGTGTTCCAAAAGTTTTGTTTTTATGAGAAATTAAAGCACTGCGACAGTATATAAAAGTATTTTAGTAACATTTTTATTTTAATATTAAAAGGACCAATGTTGTAAACATAATGTTTTTCCCAGAAATTTTTTTTAACAATTTGAGATTAATTATTGAATTTTTTGAGTGGAAAAATGAAAATTCTTTAAAATTCTAATCATTGAACATTAAGAGTCGGTGTGGAGGGGCCGACATTGAAGTTCAGCTGGTTTTATGACAACTGGGTAAAAACCTTTCGATCCATTTTTACAGAAATTGAATATAGATAAATAAGATAGTATATATGATGAATACTAGATTTAAAAATTACAGTGTAAATAAAGAAAAAAGCGATAAAGAAATTAAACATCATCAGAAATCCATAGAGAAATTGAGTATTTGCCACAAAATCTGTCTTATAATACCTAAATCTTTGCAACCCAATGTCGTAAACCTTATATATTTCAACTTTGGATCAAATAGTTTAAGTTTAAAACGTTAAAGGTTAATAGCATAATGTTAAAAAGATAAAGGGATTAGAAAATTTTGATTCACCGACAAAGGGTCAAACGACACAGGGTCAAACGACAAAAATATTTTTATCATTTTGACCTTTTGTCGTTTGACCCTTTGTCGCACTTTTGACCCTTTTGTCGTTTGACCCTTTGTCGCACTTTTGTCCCTTTGTCGTTTGACCCTGTGTCAATTGACCCTTTGTCGGTGAATCGAAAATTTTAATTTGTGGCAAATACTCATCAGTTCCTGTGTTTACATAAAAGTTTAGCTTCTGGGAGGATTTTGTACCAGCAAGTACAGGAAGCGTCCTAAAAGCCTAGTGTATATAAATCTTGCTTGTCTGTTTGTTTAGCTGTCTGCTTATATGTAAACGTCAAGTAGGCACACATTTTTCTAGTATAGCTCTCAGACCCCATGCAGACAAGGTTTATGGCTGATCAAATTAAAAAAATTTTTAAAGATTTAATTTGTAACATTTTTTTTAAATTCACTGAAAATTTCGGAGACTAATAGTTTTGTTCCTACCTGAGGGTTCTATGCCCAGCTGTAGAGGAATGAAGTTCAGAATAACAACTAGAATTCAAGGACTGGGAAACCTGATCATAGAAAACATAAAGATTAAATACCTTACGCAAATGTAAAGCTTCTATGACAAACATTATTTCTTGTTTAGTTTCTTTGAAGCATCTATATCAATCTATTCTTCTATCTAGAGAATTCTACCTGTATTCCATGTTTAGTTTCCTTGACTAGGAAGCATCGATATATATATAAATTCTTCTATCCGAAGACAAGTATTCTACCTGTTTTCCTCGTTTATTTTTCTTGACCAGGAAGCTTCTATATCCATATATTCTTTTATCCGTAGACAAGTATTCTACCTGTAATCCTCGTTTAGTTTCCTTGACCAGGAACCGTCTATATCCATATATTCTTCTATCCTATAGACAAGTATTCTACCTGTATTCCTCGTTTAGTTTCCTTGACTAAAAAACATCTATATCTATCTATTCTTCTATCCATAGACTAGTATTCTACCTGTATTCCCCGTTTAGTTTCCTTGACTAGGATACATCTATATCTATCTATTCTTCTATCCTATAGAAAAGTATTTTACCTGTATTCCCCGTTTAGTTTCCTTGACTAGAAAACATCTATATCTATCTATTCTTCTATTCTTTAGACAATTATTCTACCTGTATTCCTTGTTTAGTTTCCTTGACCAGTAACCGTCTATATCCATCTATTCTTCTATCCATAGACAAGTATTCTACCTGTATTCCTCGTTTAGTTTCCTTGACCAGGAAGCATCTATATCTCTCCTCCTCTGTTCTCTTGTATCTATAGTCTAGGGTTCCGATCATATAGGTTTCAGTTGGGTCATCTTCACGCAACCAGGTTGCCTGATATAATCAAATATAATTAAATATATTAAATATAATAATCAAATATAATCAAATTTAATTAAATATATCAAATATTAGCAAATATTAGCAAACATAATCAAATATGATAAAATTAAAAATAAAATTGGTTAAAAATCGTCTTGTTTTTCGGAGTAGAACCACATGAGAGTTTTTAGCTTGGTATTAAAATTCCAAATTGAGAGGATTAATTTTTTTAGAGAAAGGAAAATTTCCAGGTAAAGCTGGGTTACCACGCTACTAAGTATATAATTTGATGACTAGATACTAGAAAGACAGAATTTAGTTAAACAGAAATTTTCTAAAAAAAATTTTAAAAATATTTCTACCGGTGAAATATTTAAAATATTTCGACCGGTGAAAATGCTCAAAGGAAAAAGTTTTTCAAATTTAAAGAAATTGAATCCAACAACTTTGTTTTGGACCTTTTAAATTTCTTATTTAAAGAAAGTATGGAAGTTTTCAAAGTTTTGTATTAATGAATAAAGAAGGCCAAGGTGCCGAAGCGCCACTAATTACTACCAGATTTAACGAGAACTAAAGTTGTTTAATGCAACATGAACAGATTGCAAACCATGTACAGAGTATAATACAGCTCTACACTAACAGATTGTGCAACCATGTACAGAGTATAATACAACTGTATGCTAACAGATTGTGCAACCATGTGCAGAGTAAAATACAACTCTACACTAACAGATTGTGCAACCATGTGCAGAGTATAATACAACTCTACACTAACAGATTGTGCAACCATGTGCAGAGTATAATACGCAACCATGTGTAGAGTATAATACAACTGTATGCTAACAGATTGTGCAACCATGTGCAGAGTATTATACAACTGTATGCTAACAGATTGTGCAACCATGTACAGAGTATTATACAACTGTATGCTAACAGATTGTGAAACCATGTGCAGAGTATAATACAACTGTATGCTAACAGATTGTGTAACCATGTGCTGAGTATTATACAACTCTACACTAACAGATTGTGCAACCATGTGCAGAGTATTATACAACTCTACACTAACAGATTGTGCAACCATGTGCAGAGTATTATACAACTGTATGCTAACAGATTGTGCAACCATGTGCAGAGTATAATACAACTCTACACTAACAGATTGTGCAACCATGTGCAGAGTATAATACAACTGTACACTAACAGATTGTGAAACCATGTGTAGAGTATAATACAACTGTATGCTAACAGATTGTGCAACCATGTGCAGAGTATTATACAACTCTACACTAACAGATTGTGAAACCATGCATGTGCAGAGTATAATACAACTGTACACCAACAAATTGTGCAATTTTGTAATCAACTATTCTTATTTTAATTCTATGAGAATATCAAATTTATCCTGTATAAGAAATTAAAAACATTTCTGTTCTTCTCAAATCAGATCATTTACATAGTTTCGACGTTGTAGTGGCTTAATAATGTTATTTGCCATTTGTCGCACTTTTCGACCCTATGTCGTTTTAGCGATCCTTATGTCGCGTTTTACCCGTTTGTCTCGTTTGACTCTAGGTCGGTTGAGCCTATATCGGTGATTCCTAGCGCTCTGTTTGTCTTCAAGTCAAATCAAATCTAAGGTCATTTAATTCTTCAGCTCCGAGATAACCATCGTAACACCCCCTCCCCCACACTAACAGAAAAGAAACCTACATCCAGGCGCGTTGTGGGGGGGTCGGTACCCTGTGCCCCCCCCCCCTATACATGCACCACTCTAGGCCCCCCCTAGATCCAGAGCAGGCTCTAATTTATTAAACTTAGAATATATTCAGATTTTTAATTTTTCTTTAAGTAATAGTTTTTTTTCATTTTTTTCTTAATACTGGTTTTTAGGGGGGTGCACATCAACCGTTAGGTGGGTACACAAAATTTCGCCAAAAGTGCACCCCCCTAGGCTAAACCTCCACTACGCTCCAGATTCCCTTTAAGCTATATGTTTATTCCTCAAAAGCTTTTAGTGTTCGAAGAGAAAATAATTCTCTTTGTTCCGTGTTTAACAAGCGATAAAAAGATTTCTTCTTGTTTCGTTTACAAATTTGAAAATACAAAGATTAAAAGCAAAAATCAAAGTTTTTAACCCACTAGCGGCTGAAGAATTTTTTTTTATATTTTTCTTTGAAAATTTGATTAAGAATACTTATTATTGGTTAGATCAAGGAAAAAAAGTAAAAAATGCAAAAAAAAATTTTAAAGGTGTTTTTTTAGGGATTTTAAGAGTGGCCTTATAAGTCACCACAGTTGCTGCAGGGCGGGTATACAGAATTTTTCCTAAATTTATGAGAAAGGCAAAATTAATTAACTAAAATGTTATATAAATGGCCATAGGAACTATTATTTACCCAACAATACGTTTACTCTTTATTTTCAAACATTACTAAAAAACAATAATGCAAAAAAAATAGTTTATTTAATAAAAACATATTATTCACACCATCCTTTTACGTGAAACCCGAAGAAGTGATCAAAGCAAATGGCTCTATCACACTTATCATATTATTTGACACTCTGTTGAACCTTCTAATGCACATCTAGATCTGTGATTCTTTCTTACAATGAGAAGGTGCTATCAGCATAGCAAACTACACTGTACTTTGATTTTTGTCGACTGTTGTATTTACTCTAAACTCACATATTTTAAAACTGTATACCCACCCTGTGACAACTGAGGTGCCCTATAAGGCCAATTTATTTATGTATGGAAAAATGTAGTTCTTATTTCTAAAATAATGACAGAAAAATTTTTTTTTAAAAATAATTTCAAAGAATAATTAATAATAAATTGAAAAACTTTTTTAAAACATTTTAAAATAGTTTTCTACTAAAAAAATTTACCATACCTTAAAGGCTGCTGTTTTTTGTTTTCCATAAATGTAGTTTAATTGTTCACACCTCAACTTTACACGGTTAAATAATTTGGAAGATGAGTAGGTAGAACCGTTTAACTGTACACATGTGTGTCCCATATTGTTTACTGTATCATAAAATGACTCCCGCGGAGATAAACTCAAAATTGAGGAAAATAGATGAGTTTTATGTAAAATAATTTATAGGGGACGTATAAGTCACCGCAGCCGCTAGTGGGTTAAGATTGTTTAAACAATTATAAAAATCTGAAGATTTATTCACGTAACCGTATTTAAGTTGAGGATTGTTTTAATTTAAGTGACGGTATTAAGTTACATAAATATTGAGTTTCATGTCCGACACCCTTTAAATCTTAATCTGATCAAGAATGTGGAGATATCCATGTTTTTAACTAAAAAAATATTATATTCTTTTGTGGTTTCTTTATAAATGTGACTTGCAGAATTAAAAGCCTAACAAGCTATATCATTTCCGGTCGCAATTGTAAATTAGAAAAAAAAACTTAAAAAGTACTGTAGCGAATCATTCATGCCCTTCTTTAGCGGATCGATTCAGAAAGTTATAACGACATTGTGTATGACATATTTAAAAATGTTGGTAATGAAAGGCCGCAAAAGTTTTAGTTTTGACAACTTTTCCTATTAAATATAGATAGAAAAGATGTAAAAGATGTATAATGGAAAAGTTATTTTTGTTCACGGATATTATGAAAATATAACCCATGGACCATTTTTTGGGAATGATAATCAATATTTGATTTTATCTCAATAAATCATTATTTATTATTTATAATTAAATATTTTGGGACAACAAAAGTCTGTTTTTTAGAAGTTTAGGTGCTTTTAATATATTAACTTTTAATTGTAAAATCCGCAAAATAACATGAAAAACAAAAAAATGATTTTTTATATCACCCTCTATAGCTTTTCGTCCAACTAAAGTTTATATTGTTTGCTTACTTCAGAAATTAGCACGTTTCAAACACATTATTCGGCTCTGACATGTTATTTATGCAAGAATATTCATATATAAATTCATGCGTTGAGTGAAAAATGTTTTTTCCAACCTTACAGCTGAGGGTCTCCTCAGGGTCTCCCTTGATGCTTATAATCGTCTGATAGAAAACATTCCCATCAGCTTCAGTCTATTTATTTACACTATTTTCATTTTAATATTATTTTCACTTCAGTATTTTAGGTGTAATTTATTTTTCTGTTTAGAAATCTTATCCCATCTCTTGGCCAATTGTTTTGCAGAATACAATTTCCTTGCAGAAAACAGAGCAAAAACAATTTGCCTGATGCCCGCAAATTACAATTTAGGTTCTTTATTCCACGTGATTGTTTTCGTGTTCAATAAATAGTTCAGATTTATGAACTTAAAAAGAAAGAATATATTTTATTATAAAAAAGATTTATTCACACACAAAAATATAAATACATATATAAATGGTGTAATTTAAAAATAAATTTTAGAAAATGGAGCTTTCCAAAAGAAAAGAGAAAAATATGCAAAATTATGCAAAAATAAAAGACATTGATCATTACTCATTAGATAACAAATTTATCATTTCATTTATTACGTAATCATCGAATCCCTCAACCCATAAATTATTCGTTCTTGTATTTAAAAGTTCTTGTAAAACCGGAACTTTCTATGCATGGTCCAAAATATTTCATTTGTTTTTTAACTAACATTTTACTAAGATCAGAAAGATTTACAGAACAATCATATTCAATAGAAAATAAATTTTTGCAAAGAAAAACAAAAAACAAAAACTTAAATAAATTTTTCTATGAAACAGAAACCATATATTTTGCTTGTAGAAATTAAATTAAGTTGAAAAATGTTTAGGTTCTTGATAAAATCCCTAAATTAAATCATATCTTTTAACATGTATGATGTATTTATTTAGGATTTTAATATCGAACAATTTTGGTGAAAACATGAGAATTTGCTACTTAATTACTTAATATAAGATTATTAATTTTCTTAAAGACAAGGTGTTCCAAAACATTTACATATAATCAATTTTATAAGCTGTCCCAACATATCTACTTTTCAAATTTTTTCTACAAGTAAACAAAGTTATATGACCCTCTGGAAAAATGTCAAGTTTAATAATTTGTATGATACAATAAAAATAAAAAGACCGAAGTTTCCAGCAAAAGCAAATTAAAGTACTAATTAATCATGAGTCTACTCTGCAGATGTTATTTCTTAATGAGCAGAGTTGTTCATTTATCTTTTACTCAGTGTCGATTCAGCAATTCATTTTCTTTTATCTTTAAAGGGACTGCAAGCTAAATTTCAAGTAACTATCCATGAAATATATAAAAATGTCTAATTTACAGCGGTAAAAGCTTTGTATGAATTAGATATGTGTATTAAAACCCCCCAACCCTTTGTCCGAATCTAAGCTGATTAGAGAACCTGGAGACTAGGAATAGTGCACTTCAGGATCTTATACAGGAAAGACGTTAGAGCCTTAGCTCCCGTTTATCTTACTTAAGGCCTGGGGACTTGTAATTCATTGACAGCTCTCAGGATATATACATTAACTATGCCTACTAGAGGTTCAAGGAGGACACTGGCCTCTATCCCCATCTATATCCCAGAGGATGCTTCTTCAGATTCATCAGCATCCCCAAGGAACCTCTCTCCATGATTTCTGGCACAGATAAGATTGTAACAGTCCTGGCTAGTTCTACTGCGGATTAAGATGTACCAGATTAAGCTTTAGATTCTTGAAATGGTTCATGTAATAGGGACTCTTGAGATACAGAGCAGCCAGGATCTCCAGGTCATGCAGAAGCTCCATCTTCTCTCAATGGTAACACCCAAGATATGGAGCAGCCAGATGAAGCTCTAGATTCTTGAGAAGGTTCATGTGAAAGGGACACTCGAGATACAGGATCTCTAAGATATCCAGGATTGCTTTCGAACCAGCCTGTCTAAACTACCAACTGGAATATCCTGAATACAGAGGAGAACTAGGATATTCAAGATATCAGATGCAGCCTAAACCTGAGATTGGAGAAGCTTATTTGTACAGACAGCTCTTCATATATCTAGAGCAACTAGAAGATCCACGCAGACTTATAAATTGCTCTTGAACCAGCCCGTCTGAACTGCCCACTGGAAAATCCTGCATACAGAGGAGAACTAGGATATTCAAGATATCAGATGCTGTCTAAACTTGAGACTGGAGAAGCTGATCTTTATAGGCAGCAGCTAGAAGATCTAGTCAGACTTAGGACTCCAGGAGCAGAGGCTAGATGCCACTCGTTGTGGAACACCTCTTCACAGACCTGATGTGCGACCACCAGTAAAACCAGAGTATTCTGAGAACAGAGACGCCGCTCATTGTGGAACAGCTTTTCACAGTGCTGTTGTGGAACCACTTGCGAAACAGAGGATTCTGAGAACGGAGACATCGCTCATTGTGGAACAGCTCTTCACAGATCTAATTATGATAACAATTATGATAACATAGCAGAGACTATAGGAGCAGCTCGAACTGCGAGTAAGGCTAACATAGCAGAGACTCTAGGAGCAGTTTGAACTGTAAGTAAGGCTAACAAAGAAAAGACTCTGTGAATAGCTCTGGTAGCATCTCAAACACCAAGTACGGCTAAAGAAGCAGAGACTCTAGGAGTTTGCGAAAAACATGAAAATCATGCAAAAATAGAATATTTCGCGAAAAATACAGAATTTTAAAAACAAATGCAAAAATAAAACATTTATTAAAGTAAAGGATGAGAAGTTATTCATATGACTTAATACAACTTCAAGTATTGAGCTATCAGAGAAGAGAATTCCTCAAGTTCTTTTGAACAATTAATTGTTGCAGCTATATGAAACTCATGTTTTTCACAAAATTTTCACATTTCCCATTTTTGTGCTTTGTTTTCGCTTCATTCATTTTTGCGAAAAAATGCGAAATTTTGAGAAAAAGTTTGCGAACTGCGACCAACAATTTTCGCATTATTTTGCGAAACAATTCGTTTGCTGGAAACCCTAGTTTGATTAGATAAAGGTTATCAAGGTACAGTTTTAAATCGGTCATTGCTATCTTTGCATGGAGGGTCACATAAAGTTATGCTAACAGTCCCTTATCTCTAGTTGTTAAACCTAGTTCTTCAATGAATTCAGCAAAGTCTGAATAAATTTAATTACTGGTAAATATAAGCACAAAATGTACAAATATTAATATTGCATGATAAGCATAATCTTGAAACAAGAGAGCTTAAGACATTTGCTTTTGAAGAAATTATAAGCATTATTTCAAATGCTTTTGAAGGAATTATAAGCATTATTTCAAATGACTCTCCTTAAATAAATGGATTGGCCTCTATCTGGAAAAGTTTTGAATTCTTAAAATTTGCAAGTCACTTTGATAGAGAAACTACATTTGGTAATAATAAATTTTTAAATTTTTTTTCTCATTTTCCTCAGACAAAGGTTTTAAAGGGAGAGTCAGTTGAAATCGCGTATACAGTCCCATAATTACTTTATTCAATTACAATGTAATGGATTCATGTCTGGAAAATAAAAAAGTGTTTTATAAAACACGTTACAAATATTAATATTTGATATTTTTCAATAGGAATGTAAATTGAGCCTCAAAACCAAATACTTATTAACCTATCACTATTTATTATTTATTACAAAAAAGATTAAGGATTTAGGATTAGAAGATTTATTGTCAGATAAGTCGAAATATCAAGGATTAGCTTATTTATAGGATTAAAGATAAGCTGATCCGCAGCTAAAACAGGATTAAGGATCGATAATTTACTGATTTATTATCAAATTCAGTAGGTATGAAAATAAGGACTAAGGATTTAGCATTGGTAAAATCACTGAAAAGAATTGACGATATGCTTATCATTAGTAACAACGAATTGCGGATTCAGGATTAGTAGATTCATGGCAAGAAAAAGTACGAAGAATTAGAGACTATCTGAACACATTAGAATTAGAATTATAGGAATTGATTACAAGTTGAGCTGCAATAAAAGATGATTAACGATTCAAAGTTAGCTAATAGTAAAAAAGGTTTAAAGGTTATACAATTTATTTTCTATTTTCTATGAATAAAAAGAATCCTACATTATGTAATCTATATTTGGAAATATATTGGAAGAGAAATAGAGAATTTTAGATAATATATCTCCAGAGTTCAATCTCGCAGGATATTGTTTTTCTGAAAACTTGACGAAAACTTTGTTTAACCAAATTCTTGCTCCAATTGCAAACTTATTTGGTGTTAATAGTTTTTAAATCAAGGAGAATGGACGACATATTTGATGTTTATTAAATATTGTGAATAAGTAAATAATAAGTTAACCAAAATATACTTGCTCTCACGCCAAAAATCGATCAGGAATTAAACAATTGCTCCTTTTTAAAGCTAGAAACAAGCCTGTTTAAGGTTCAAAGTAAAAAATCAAGGCTAAAATGTCATACAAAACTTTTACAGTTGTCTGGAACTCTGCCCAAAGCCATACCCCCCCCCCCACCAGACACTGCGCAAAAAGCCCAAAAGTTTTCCGAATTGCATAAATGTAGAAACGTAGAATACAGATGTGGCATGGAGCGGAAAAGTCTAAAACAAAGAAACTGAGTTTTTTGTCACAAACTCTGATTTTCCAATCGTTATATCTTTGCAACACAATATCATACACCTTTGATATTTCAAAATATGAATTCTGTAACATCAAATAATCTAAGATTGAAATATTGAAGCTTTACCACATCAGGTTGCAAACATAAAGAGATTAGAAAATTTAAGTTTGTGGCAAAAACTCAATTTCTTTGGAACGCTAAAAATCCCCCCCCCTAAAAAAACATTTTAACAAAGATGGAACTTTTAGTGTTTGAGCATTTTACAAAAAAAAATCGTCATTTGAAAATGACGGTTTATACATAAGTATATAAATTTCTAGAAGTGGTTGGATCTAGTAACATTTATGTTTGTAAATACAATGCTTATCTTCTCCATTAAACCCTGGAATTACTTGTCAATAAGAACGGATGGAAAAAGCAAAAGAGAGAATCAAATTAAACTTTCCTAGTTAAAGAAACTATTGCTAATCTTCAAAATACATTTAGAAGTTTAGAAAGTGTGCCCCAGTAACATATAGAACTGCAGTAATTCAAAATAAAAATTTTTTATTTTTATTTTATGTTAAAATATTTTAATTCGATCTTTAAAACCTTCTCACAAAGCTAGTTTCTATGCAATTATATTTGAACAGGAAGTTTTTAAAACATTTTTTAAAAAATGAGTAGCACGTTAAACTAAAGTAAATTTCCCGAAAAAATTGAAATCTCATATGTTTTCAATCATGGCTCCTCTCATTAAAAAGCAATTGAGAAGAAGAGAAATCCTAATATGTAACCTGATAAATTTGCATCTCAAAGAACTGTGCGTTAAATCAAATCTAGATGAGGTAATATGAGATTACAAATTGGTACCAGTAATGTTGCTTAAATTTGACCTTGACAAATAATTTTCTTATCAATAATTTAAAGCAATTTATATATGATTTAATCTGACAGAATTCACAGTTTGAAATATCTAAGGGCTTCGAAATTAGCTTGCTCAGATATAGAATTAGAAAATCAGAGTTTGTGGCAAAGACAAAATTCCTAAATATATGAGGATGTAAATATAAGACGAGGAGAACATAATTTCCTTTGTATAGAGAAAGGGGGAAAATTGATGAAAGATATGAAATGATTATCCCTGTGCAGGCGGGAGTTAATAAATAGAATGAAAATATGATATATGATAATCTATATTTTTATAATATTGACGACTACAATAAAAACTAGTTTATACAATTTTTCAAAGGTTTTTTCTTAAACATATGTATGTCCACGAAAATATTTTTTTTTGTCATTTTACCTTATATAAGCTTGTCCCTTGTCAACACATTCGCTAAGATAAGAGGGAGGGGTAGAGCACTCTTTCCCCGCCTCCTAATAATAAACTATGCTTTAGAATAAAGAAAAACAAAAACTTTAAAACCAAGAATTCAACTCCCTATAAAGAGTAACCTGGAACACTAAATAAAAAATCAATAATTGATAAAAATTTATTAAACCGATCAGATTATTGTCCCAAACCAGTTCACATTATTGTCCCAAACCGATCACATTATTGTCCCAAACCGATCACATTATTGTCCCAAACCGATCACATTATTGTCCCAAACCGATCGCATTATTGTCCCCACTTTATTGTCCTGACTAAATTAAGATAGTAATATTTTGTAATATAGTGTTGATCGAATTCATGTATTTGACCGTTTTGTCGACGAATTCTAACCCCTTCAACACCCCCCCCCTTCCCCCACTGCATACGCCCATAAACTAGTCAATCCTTTTCCAGTCATTCAATACTCTTCAAAAGAGTAAGGTACGGTTTTCTAATTTTTCTTTTAAGTTTTATGTGTTTTGAAAATATTCATTTTGAAAAATTCCATTTTACATAAAAATATTTTTATTTTTGTTCTCTTCTTTGTTTATTTTAGTTGCTGTGCTTGTATTTTTTATTTTTATTTTTTATTTTTTGCTTATATCTGTTATATTATAGGACAAACTCCTGATGATGCCAAAGTTTTTGGCGAAATATATTGAGAAGAAAATGATATAATTCTAGTGCTAGAGAGTAGGGTTGGGATTTGTTTAAAAACGATCTAAAGTTTTCGTAATATAATATCGTTAATAATTACGAATGGAATAGAGTCTTTCGCGCCACAAATTCAAATTTGCTAATCCTAATATCATTATATATTTACAATCTAACAGTGTAAACATTTGATATTTCAAACATAGATTATTTGAACTAGCAGAATTAAGAGATTGAAATCTCTAAGGTCTACGGCATTTGGTTGCAAAGATATAAGGATTAAAAGATCAGAATTTGTGGCAACTATTCAATTTCTTTAATGAATTTAGGGTGTTTCTGATATTTCTGTGGTGAACTTGCATTTGATGTTATTCATGCACATATATACCATGTGCATGGTTGATTTATGACATTTTGAGATTAAATCAAAAATTTCATAAAATCCCGCAAAATCAGAAATTAAAATTTTCTAAAAAATCTTGTATTTACCTTGTATGAAAAAGTAAAATGTCCGTGAAAAGGACAAGGAGTGTTCTCTACAGTCATTCGAACCAGGGTGCTGAAATATAATTGTTATATGCAGAGCGTCCCATGTCATATCATATATAAGCACATATAATACTCGAAAAATCTAGCATTTTTTGCAAAAAAAAATTATATTAGCCTAATTAAATTTTTCAAAATGATTCATTCTTCTTAAATTTTCTGATTTGTCCCCTAAACCGTAATTTAGACCCATTGACGCGGTCTCATTTAATGTAGGACACCCTGTAGTACAGGGTTCGTACAGGACAG